TATAAATATAATATTATATCTTTTAACAGAATACGTGATCTTGTCAATAATGCTTCAAAAAAATTCAAAGTGGAGACTAATGCGAAACAACTTTATCTTACTGGTTGCGTAATGCTGTTCCGAGATTGTAATGTTGTTGTTGTGGAAGGTGGAGCAAAACAACAAGCTAAGTACAAACGGCTGATGATGCATCGCATCAAATGGGAAGAAGATATAGTGAAGGATAATGATGGGAATGATGTACCAAATAGATGTGTACTGGTATGGGAAGGGACAAGTAAACAGCGCCATTTCGGAGAAATTAAGTTTAAAGTGTGCCCTATTGAAAAAATGGCTCGAGAACATTTTAAGAAACATCAAGTGGAGCATTATTGGGATTTAGCCTACAGTGGCGCAGTTCTTGATAATACAGATGAAGTACGCCCTTAAAATATAATCTTGTAAATTAATTTAACATATAATTTAGCTAATGCAACAAATGATAAATAACTTCTATATTAAGTACAACTTAATAAGATTATTGAAATGAGAAATAAAAGATGTATAACCATACTAAGAGTGGACATAAATAAAAGTGTTCATTGTTTCAAAAAGTCTATTTATTTATTATAGTTGGCACAATCTTGTAGTTAAATTTTAATATTGCAACTGTAATATTTTATTATTAAATTATGTTATTTCAGCATTATTTACATGAATTTACTTTTAATTGAATGTTTAAAAACCTCTTGAATAAAAAATGCGATCATTCCATGCGTGACACATTATCACGATTTATTACCAATGCTAATTCATTGATTTACACAAAGAAAGTAATAAATGAAGAAACGAGTGTGACTTCATTATCCTAACAAATCACAAATGGTGTCATCTCAAGGAATTTTAATCCGTGAACGACATTGTAGTCAAGCCCATCAAGTGCGTCCAATTAGCATAGCGCAATGGCGCTTGCGATACCTATACTATTATAACATACAAAAGAACACACATGCGAGGTCTATGCATACCGCATCGCATGCATGAAGGTGCGAACGGAATATTCGACCTTGAAACGGCACCTTCAACCGCGATTCCCAATAACGTAGCCAAAGAAAGGTGAACCTTGGTCCCGTTCATAATACTAATCCAGCAGTCACTATTGCTGCAGCGATGCACTTTTACCAGTTGTATACGTGTTATACTTCGATGCACCGTACACCACTGATGCACGTGCATTGCTGCGATCCTGGTTAAACCCCACTCCAGAATAGATCGAACGGGATAGACTAGAGTTTTACTTTCGTTCGAAGCATCATTCTCAGTTCAGGTTTACCGCTGCGCGTACTCGCGCACATCGCTTTCGCGCGTGTGGAACCATTCGAAGCAAATGAATGCCATCGCGTATTAAGGATACTTAATCCTTCCTGGAGTGATCCCTACGTTAAGAGGATATCATGCGCTTTATCCTCAAAAAGATGTTGATCTCTACTAAAAACATCGCTACCAGTAGCTCGTTCATCTTCGTATTGCGGTGAGTACTTTTTCACATTATTTTTTAATATAAATATGACAAACAATTTTGTGCTATTTGTTTATAATTTGATAATATACAAATTTAATAATACGTAGGTATTATTAATTGCGAATATTTTTTAATGTTTGTAAAAAATTCTTTGCATGCGTGTATTGAAATATAAATAGCGAAATTAATTACAAATTCATAACTTAAACAATTTATTTTTACATTATTAAATATTAAATACTAAATAATGAATGTATGATTAATAAAAATAGATAATTTTTACAAAGAAATATATTTTAGAAATATTTAATTAATTTAGTTTTTTTTTTTAATAAATATGCGAGCGATTAAGAATTAATGTAAGAAATGATTTAAAATTAAATAGGTATGATAAATGTAAAATTTAATCGGTAGTATTCAAATTTAATCAAGAATTCGTTTATGAATTACTTTGTTTGATCGTGACAATTCATCATTGTTAAAGGAAGGGAGAAAAAGAAAGAAACAAGGAAGAGCGAACTTTTTCTGTGATATGTAAAATATGAGAGCGCATGTAAACAATACACAGAAACAATACTTATGTAATTGAATCTTTTTCTCAGTATAAATTCTATAAGAATTACTCGTTTCAAAATCGGGGAGGGAGGGTTGATTAAGCGTGAGTTGTTACATATCGGATAATTAGCTCATACGTTCTAACCCAACGATCGTAAACAGTGAAACGGCAGCGTTATGAAACTTTGCGAATGCGAACGTGTTGAAGTCTTGGCACAACGATTTATACTTATAGTTAGCACGTTTCTCTCAGCTCGTTACTTCATCAAAGGTTAACGATTATATCGTGCGGACTTATTCAGATCTACACGACTTCAAATCGACTTGCGTGGGCGATATGAAACTAATTGTTTTGTAATTATTATAATTTATTGCATAAATAAAGCAATATCTCATATATATACTGTATAAATAGAGATTTATATCGCTTATGTTTATTCTGTATGTGACATCTTCTAAATTATTCTAAAAGAATAACGTCTTCTAGAATTAAGTACAATTTCTAATTAATTATTTGATAATAATATATTAAGTATTTTAAAATAATTATATGTGTTAGTAAAAATTATCAATATCAATCATGATTTTTCAATTCTAAGTAAGTATGAGAATATATATATGTATTGAAAAAAAAATTTCCTAAGTCTCTAAGTAATATTTTCTTGAATAATATTAAGTAAATTTCCTTATTGCAAATAAATATTTACTAAACGTAAACATATATTATTTGATATATTGATTTAAATATTACTTTTTTAAAAATAAATTTATTTGCAGTAAAGAAATATTTTACGCTTAGTATCATTCAAGAAAATATTTGATTTAGAAATTTGTTTTCAAAGAGAATTACGCAGTCTTTACAACAATACAGTTGGAGTAAATATTTTAACAAATATTAAAAATAATATTTCTGAGGCAAACTAGGTTCTAAAGACATTGAAAATTAATCTTTGAGCTCAACTTAGACCTAGTTTGCATCATGGACTTGATACGGGTACTAATTAGTAACTTTCTATTGAATTATCTTAATTTCAGCAATACGTATATATGATATTGATGAATATTTAATTAAATATCTTGATGCATATTATATCAATTTAGTACATCATTCTTTAAATACATTATGGATTTAAAGAAAGATAATTTTATAGAAAGTTATTAATTAATATATGCATATCAAATGCTCAGTGTAAAAGGGACCATAAAAAAGATAACAATATTCCTTTTCATTTAATTCTATAAGAATTTCTAAGTTTTGTTAAAAAATTGAAAACTACGACGTTCTATTCAGAAATGATATATTTAATAATCTCTATGTGCTTGGACATTACAGAAAGATGCATCACGCAAATAATGCTTTAATACAATGTAATTGTATGTAATTTACTTTGTCGATTCTATCGGTTCTTCAAGTCAACATAGATCTTCCTTGCTTTCGCAAAGTGCATGCTCGTGTTTCAACAACATCGAAGTTCCGGGTCAATAAGGATTAACAGTTTAAACATAATTGATCGAGAGTGATCGATCTGCGTGTCAAGGAGATTGTTTCCATCGATTCACGCAAACGCTAATCATGGGAATAAAGAACATTACGCAAAACGATCGTAAAAGAACCAGGAAGGATTTCTTAAATGTCAGCCTCATTCGACCTCCTTTTAAGGTCTGTCTGACCATATGCTGTGCCATAAAGGCATAAAAAAATGACACAGTCCCAGTTGAGAAACTAGCACGAGATAGATGCCGGTGTTGATGAATGAATTTGTTACGGTAAACGCGCGCAATGAACAATGCTTCTAATGTAACGGGGTGAAATGCCATCGCGTCGACAAGGTCTCCAGAGTTCATTGTGATGAATTACACGATAAATTACGAAACGTGTTTCTAATCTCTATAATATCACGTATATCAGTTCCTCTGTCACATAGAGTAAATTACGTGGAATCTCGCTTGCTCTTAAATCTTGTTATACATTAGCATAGATCACATAAGTTCATGTATGTATACATAACTTTAATGAGATCTTATCAAAATATTTAATGTAATTAAAGCGCACAAACAGCGATTACAATAGTCTGAGTCAATAAAGATCAGCATACTATGGCCTTCAAAGCATGAGTTTCGTAACAGATAATATAACAAACGTGTGTCTGTCAATACATCTCAGTTTATTTGCAATACGGATGTGCAAATATATGGTCGTCCGCAATGTCCAATCCCCATAATTGCGCTTTCAATGATTGATTGTATCTCATCATCGCTAAGTTAGATAATAATACAACCATCGAATTTGCATAACGATTATTGGGTAATAACGGTGCTGTATGTTGTACCGTGCAGAATGTAAGTGCATTCACACAAGAATTCATCTCTATTCGAAGGCGTTATGACTGTTTGCCGCGATGGCACTTAGCGGCACTAAGCTATGCATGGATAAGTGGGTGTTTTCTATCTTTAGATTACGATCCGCAGATTCCTTGCTCTAATGACACTCGTTGGAGCTACGACCTTGCCACCCAGGATGCTGCACGATCTGGATAAGCGCACGAATCTCTCTATGGAGAGATACAGTCAGGCGGAACGAGCAATCATGAATTCCCGGACGCAACTCAATCGAGGCTCGCCGTCTTGGTACCTTGGTGCATCCCACGAGATGACTGAGGGCGCACAAAATCTCTCGAGAAAGGCTTTGCGAATCGAAACAATGGCAGTGATGCTCGTAGAAGCACTCAACATGTCGTCGAAACAGGCATCCTTAATCTTGCCGACGGTAGCCGCCGTCCTTTGCCCAGACTCACCCAACTTCCTACGACTAGTATCCGAATGCAAGAAATCAGATGTACATTACAGGACACATACGGGTCGATGCAATAATCCGTTGCATCCAACTTGGGGTGCAGCGCTGGAGGCTTACGTGAGATTCTTGCCGCCGGAGTATGAAGATGGTGTCTCCTTGCCTCGTACAAATTTGCCGAGTGCGAGAGAAGTCTCTTCGCAGGTACATGCCGGCGGATTGGACCTTAAACATCCTTATTTAATGGCGCTTACTGCGCTTTTCAGTCAATTTCTTGCTCACGATTTGGCGCATACGCCTAGGATGGAATTACCAGACCGCACCAGACTCAAGTGTTGCGACGTTGATTATGAAAATTTTCATCCGGAGTGCTTCCCGATCCGCGCGGAGCAGCCAATCGGATGTATGGAATATTCGAGATCAGCACCGCATCCAGGGAATTCGTTACAGGTAATTTATATGAATAAAATCTTATATAATGTTCGAGAAATCTCTTAGAAATATGTCTATGATTTCTTCATATTATTATGCAAGAACTGCGGTCTAGGCAATGCCTTTTAAGATGCACATGAGGATTATATTGTCATTAGTATAAATTTGAAAGTTAATAATACCTTACGTATAGAGAAGAGAGAGAGAGAGAGAGAGAGAGAGAGAGAGAGAGAGAGAGAGAGAGAGAAGAGTATACTAAGAATATAATATAAAAATA